GTCCCACCTGCTCAACTGCCGACGCCGGCCAGCTCATTCGTCCCTCAACTGGCTGACGCGTCACACTTCCGGCCTGAATCTCCCGGGCCCCCAGGGGCGAGGCTGGAGCGCGGCGGCGAAGGCGGGAAACCCAAAGGCCCCCACGGCAGTGGGCTACAACCCCGCCACCTGCCGGCCCGGCTCGGATTGGTCCCTTCTGAGACCAATGCCACGGCTTTAACCAATCGGCAGCCAGGCCGGTCGGGAGGCCCCGCCCCACACGAGCCCGCGCTCTGGTCCTACGGCTGACCGGGGAAGGTTTGCAAGAGTTTAGGGATTCGCAGACTGGGCCCCCAAGTCACGGAAATGGAGGGCGTACACTTACACTCGAGCCTCCGGGCTTTTGTTGGGAACAGCCTGGGCGTGTGTGACCTTGGGCAAGCCTCTGTTTCTCGCTGGGCGCCACTCCCGCCCTTCTCACTGGGAGGCTGGCGGAACTGGAGGGGTGCGCGTGCAGGGGGGAGGGAACGGGATGGTCCTGGGGACAGAACGCTGTGAACGCGACGTGAGAGAGAAGCCTGACCCTGGCCGTCCTGGCAGCAACACGGCGGCTCCCGGGCTCCTCACCGCGCCCTCGCCGGCGGGCCTCGCCCCGCCCTCAGACCACGCCCCGAGCCTTAAGGCGCGGCCCCGACCCTTAAGGCGCGGCCCCGCCCCTCTCTCAGACCCTGCCCCGAGCCTTAAGGCGCGGTCCTACCTCGGCCCAGCTCACAGCCAACCGGACCGGCGCCGCTGCACCTCGACTGCTTCAGCTCCAACCGGCCCCCCCGCCGACCGCACTGCTGCCTGCATCTCGTGTTCTCCCCGCGGCTCGGTGAGCCCGGCCCCAGCCCGCCCCGGCCTTCCACCCCCTCCACTTGCTCTGGCCTCCGGCTTCCACCCTTTATCCCCCGGCCACGCGGCTCCACGTGCTCCCTTCTCTTTATTTCTCTCCCCACAACCTACCTACGTATTTAGAATTGCTTCTTCGCTCTCGCCCCGTTTTTTCTTTGCTTCTCTCCAATCTCCTTTTATCTGTCATTGAGGCCTCCCCCACCCACCACCCACCCCCGGCTTCCCCACCCTTACGTCCCACAACCACCTCTCGGCCCAGCGCCCCACCTTGTCGACGTTCCCCCAATAACCAGAATGACCTCTTCCTCCCCGGTCTTGAGGCTGCGAACCTCCTGTTCGCAGCATTATATCGAGCACCCTTTCCTGGGGCTGTTTCTGTTTAGACGTGGCTTTGAGCCGCGCCACCCAGCCCCTGTCACCTCCTCGCAGCCCTGGCCAGGAGCTTGGACGGCTCCTAGAGAATGCCTGTTCCCTCCTGACCCCTTGTAATACTCCCACTCATCAGGATCCGCTGATGGTGCTGACGCAGGCTTATCTAGAATACTGGAAGAGAACCAGTGTGTCTCCCAAGAGAGCAGAGTGGGGGAGGGAGGGCCCCTGGGTGTATTTCTCCCCACTGATCGCTGGCTGCCCTCCCTGGGTGTGGTGGGTCCTTTTGCCTCCCCATCCCCAAGGCAAGGAGTGAGTGGGTGGGTGTGCCTTGGGCAAGTCCCCTTTCCCTGCTGGGTCCTTTAAGGTGGATGTCCCTTTCTAAACATGCTTTTGTCCTCACCCACAGGATACATAGTATGACCAATAGGTGTTCCATATCTCAGTTATTTTCTATGGAAAACCAAAGAGATCAGATCCGGATCGCCACTGTTGGCTTTGAAGAATGGGACGTCTTTAGAGAAGCTTGATCTTGGGAGGCCTCATCGTGAGACCTTACAAGTCCGGGTAAGATTCCAGGAATCTAAGGAAGTCTGCCTCTCCCTGCCTTGGGGTCTGGACGGGAGAGGGTCAGAGGACAGTCACTCTCACACATCCTTGGTCTCCTTCTGGTCCTTCAGTGGACCCTCCTCACACAACGAGGATGATGAGCCCCATTTTACAGAAGAGGAAACAGGTGAGGGGGGCACCTCTGAGACAGGTGCTTAATGTTCTCGCTACATATTGTTGAGTTCAACTTTTGACTATCCCTGAGATTGAGATTAGTAATCAGGTTTCGTTTTCTAGGCTCTGAAACTTTCAACCAAATCTGATTATTTGTTGAGGGTTATAAAATAGGTTAGGGGCCCAGTGGTTAAGTGCAGTGCTTCTGAACCTTCCTAATGCTGTGACCCTTTAATACAGTTCCTCATGTTGTGGTGACCCCCCCAACCATAAAATTATTTTCATTGATGCTTCATAACTGTCATTTTGCTACTGTTATGAATCGGGCAACCCCTGTGAAAGGGTCATTCGACCCCCAAAGGGGTTACATCCCACAGGTTGAGAACCGCTGGTTAAATGTTTGGCTATCATAAGGTAGGTATCACAAGTGGGTGGTTGTGAAGAACAGGACTGTATTGGCCCAGTTTGGAAATCTAGAAGTTCAAATCAGGACTGGAGTTCTAGGGGAGGCAGTATTCAAAATGGCAACTGAGCCTCCGAGCACTTGTCTTTTGAGATAGGCATGAGTCAGGTAGATATGTGTCATGGTGCGTCCCTGGTGCTCAAAGAAGAGGGGCTGCTTGTCCGAATCTTCTCGGAACCATTGGCCCGAGATGACTGAGCTGTGGGACTTCCCTCTTGAAAGAACCTGCCTGGGCCTCGGGCTGGGTAAACAAGAACAAAATGTGGCAAGCACAGAGTGTAGGATGTGGAGCCTGTGGGCAAGGCTTCAAAGTTTCCTTATCTGTAACGTGAGTAAGGGCAGCCACCTCAGGGTTGCTCTGAGGAGTGAGCTAATAGAAGTGGGGTAGGTATAAAGCAGGGAGGGCTGCTTGGAGCTGGCCTGGGGATGTGGGAGCATCCCATCCCACCAGCTCATTTTGCCACTTATCTTCTCAGCCAGTCTTCACAGGACCTCATGTAGGCCAGCCCAGGGGAACATAGGGTCTCTTGGTTTCCCTCTGAGAACCCCAGGAGGAAAAAGCTGGGGGTGCACTGTGTTTCCACAGTTTCCGTGTTCATAGCAGCAGACTCCTACCACATCCTCAAGGGCCAGTTCTGTCCTCCTGGGCCCTAGTGACAGAGGCAGCCAATCAGGCTGGCTCTCAGCTGCTCCTATGAAATCAGAGACAAGCAGGTGTCCCTCCCCCACGAGGGTGCTGGGCTCACTTCCTCTCTGGGCAGCAGGGGAGGGTGTGGTTCCAACTCTGAGAACAAAATGGAGCCCTAGGTTTCCAGTGTCATTCATTCGTCACAGCCTCTGACTTACACCTCCCCGTCCCCACCTCTTGTAGTGAAGATGGCAAACTGGCTGCCAGGTGGGGGAGCATTTTCCCTGCGTCACATAGGAGGCCAATTGAGCGAGCTCTGCGCCCACACTGAGTCTCAGCTCTGAGAATTGCCTGGAGTCCCCCAGGGCCCCCTCAGTGTTACCTTGTTGAAAAAGCCTTTCCCAGCCATCCACTTTTCTCTGGGTCTGCCCCGATTCATTCAGTTGCTCCTTCTGTATTTTCAGAGTATATCCTGCAAGCCCCAAATGCAGCTTAAGTCACCCACCCCTCCCTGTGTCAGACAGTAAAATCTTCTGGGGAGGGAAGACCTGGTGGTCTTTTCCCTTATAGGTCACTGCCTGGGAAATCCTATGGGGCAGCTCTCTTCTGTCACGCAGGGTCGCACATGAGTCCGAATCAACTGGACAGCACTTAACAGCAGGGAAGGAGGTGGTGTCTGGGGCTCCTGAGTCTCAATAAACTGGCGCCCAGCAAAGGCATGACTAGAGATGCCCGAGTTGGGTGGGGATTCCAGGAAAGAATTATACTGATGGAATAAGAACGGATTGGGTTGTCTGGTCTACTCCCTCTCTTCTAGACTTAGGCCAGACCCAGGCCATGGCCATTTCCCTCTGGTCAGGCCCGTAGGAGCCGAAGTGTGGGCAGCAGCAGTGGAAGTTCAGCGAAGGCTGGGCCAGTGGCTTGTTATGAGGCAGCAGGGGGGCAGCCCTGATCCCTTTCCTGTAGTGAAAGCCCGGAAGCTCTTCCTTAAACACGGACTCCAGCTAGGAATAGCATCTCCAGGCCTGCTTCCCGGCCTCGAGGGTCCGTTCCCATTTTCCCTTATGGGGCTGCTCGGTGTCCTTAGGGAGTCGGTGCTGTCAGAGAGGGTCACGTGGGGTGGTGGTGGTGGACAGGATCTGAGGGAACAGCTACCGATGGGCATTTCTCAACTTAGATTCCGGCAGAGTTCCTCTATCTCGTCTTGTTGCTGATTGAAGGTGCCCTCCACTTCTCCACACGTCTTCATCCCTGGGAGGTAGCAGGAAGTCAGCATCATGGTTGGGTTCAAGGCCACCGATGTGCCCCCGACCGCCACCGTGAAGTTCCTGGGGGCTGGCACAGCCGCCTGCATCGCGGATCTCATCACCTTCCCGCTGGATACCGCTAAAGTCCGGCTGCAGGTGAGGGAGTGACACCTGGACATCCCAATGGTATCGCATATGCTCCTCCTGCCTCTCCCTATAGCCATCCTGTGTTGACCTTGCAGATCCAAGGAGAAAGCCAGGGCCCAGTGCGGGCCATGGCCAGCACTCAGTACCGTGGCGTGCTGGGCACCATCCTGACCATGGTGCGTACGGAGGGCCCCCGCAGCCTCTACAACGGGCTGGTCGCCGGCCTGCAGCGCCAGATGAGCTTCGCCTCTGTTCGCATCGGCCTCTACGACTCCGTCAAGCAGTTCTACACCAAGGGCTCTGAGCGTGAGTATGGAGCTGGGCCCACGGGCTCATGGGGCTGACTGATCCTAGTTCAGTTAGTTGACTAGCTCCTTTAGACCCCAAGATCCCTGGGAAGATCGAAAGACTGAACTTGGAAGGAGTGCTGAGTCTCCTGGTGATTCCTGAGCACTGGGCTGTGCCAGGCCCGTGGGCATCATATTGACCTTTCTGTGGCATCCCTCACAACCCCAGCAGCCCAGGGTCATAGGTGAAGAAACACACTTGAAAAGGGGCTTGGCCAAGGGGACTTCGAAGGCCAACACTCTTCCCTTTCTCTTCCATTGCAAGCCAACCCGCCATTTGACCCTGAAAGAAACCAAGAAAGAACCCAGGGGGAAAAGTTGATCGGCGCTTCTCCAAGATCACAGGACAGGGAGCAATAGATCTCAATAACCTAGGGCCCCTCCTTGGAAAGGCCACCTCTCTCGGCCTTGGTTTTCACATTGGTCAGATGAAAAAAATCGTCTGATGTCTCAGAGCTGGTGAGCAGCAGATGAAATGATGAAAGTGAAACTGCTTTATGAAAGAAAGTACTAAGTATCATTTTTGTCTTATTCCTTGCTTTTTTCCCCTCCAATGCAAGTAGATCCTTGCTAGGACATTTTGTTTGGTGTGATGAGGTTGTGAGAGAGAGAGGGAGAGAGAAAGGGTCTGGACTCTCCTCCTGAAATGTCAGGAGGGGGGAAGTAGAAACAAGTGCAAGTCCAGCTGACCACTGACCCCACGGTTTGCCCACAGATGCCGGCATCGGTAGCCGCCTCCTGGCAGGCAGCACCACTGGTGCCCTGGCTGTGGCAGTGGCCCAGCCCACGGATGTGGTAAAGGTCCGGTTCCAAGCTCAGGCCCGGGCTGGAGGTGGCCGGAGATACCAGAGCACTGTGGATGCCTACAAGACCATTGCTCGGGAGGAAGGGTTCCGAGGACTCTGGAAAGGTGAGTATCAGGCATCTCCTAGCTCCCACCTCCTCCTTTCCCCACTCCACGTGCTCATATCAAGCCCTCCTCCTTCCTATAGGGACCTCACCCAATGTGGCTCGGAATGCCATTGTCAACTGTGCTGAGCTGGTGACCTATGACCTCATCAAAGATTCCCTCCTGAAGGCCAACCTCATGACAGGTGAGTTGGGGTCAGTGGGGCTAGAGAGCTGTGGGGGTCTGGTTGCCTCAAATCCAACATTCTTTCACCACCTTTGGCTGGTGGCCTGATTTCCTCTCTAATCTGCCCTAGTGAAGCTCGCAGGGATGAAACTTCACTCTGCAGATTGAGGAACCCAAACTAGATTAGAAAAATGACAGTTTCGGGTTCTTCCTTGGGAGAGGTCCCAACTAGTCTGCCCTTCAAAGACCATAAGGGCTCCCCCCTCCCCCACCACCTGATTCTCTAGGCCCTTTCTTGGTTCTCCTCCCGGGCAAGGCATCCTGACTGCCTCGCCTGCCCCTCCTCTTCTGCAGATGACCTCCCTTGCCATTTCATTTCCGCCTTCGGGGCCGGCTTCTGCACCACCGTCATTGCCTCCCCCGTCGACGTGGTCAAGACAAGATATATGAACTCTGCCCTGGGCCAGTACAGCAGCGCTGGCAACTGCGCCCTTACCATGCTCCAGAAGGAGGGGCCCCGGGCCTTCTACAAAGGGTAAGCTTCTGAGCTATCCCACCGGTCACTTGGGCCTGTCACACAGGTGGGAGAGAACCATCGGAACCAAGTAGCAGCCAAATGGAAACCTGTTTCTGGTCCAGCCCTGGTCCCAGGTATTGTTATTGGTATCATTAATTTTGAGGGAACCCTGGTGGCGTGGCGGTTGCACTTTGGGCTGCTAACCTCGAGGTCAGTTTGAAACCACCGCGTGCTTGTGGGAGAAAGGATTTCTACTTCTGTAAAGAGTTAGTCCCGGGAACCCACAGGAGCAGTTCTACCCTGTTCTAACTGGTCACATTGAGTCAGAATCAACTCAGGTGACACTGATTTTGAGAAACCATTGATTTCAACTCACAGAGGCCTGTATTACAGAAGAGATCGGCGCTGTGGGCTTTTTTTTTTTTTGGCTTTCTAGACTGTAATCTATGGGAGCAGGTCTCAGGGACTTTCTTCCCGCAGGACTGGGTGGTTCTGACCAGCCACCTTTCCAGTAGTGCTTGACCATGACGCCACCAGGGCTTCTCATTCTCTAGGTATTAAACCTGAAGCTTGCGAGAAGATGCTTGCTCAAGGCCAGGCAGCTGGGAGGCCCAGTTATGGCCTTGGATTGGATGCCGGGGCCCTGTAGGGGCTGAGCAAGAGGTAGAGATTGCTCCCGTGTTGGCCAGTGCCCCCAGTAACGTGTGTTTCCTGCCCCCAGGTTCATGCCCTCCTTTCTCCGCCTGGGCTCCTGGAACGTGGTGATGTTCGTCACCTACGAGCAGCTGAAGCGGGCCCTCATGGCCGCCTACACTTCCCGGGAGGCTCCCTTTTGAGCCGCTCCTGCTGCTGACCGGACGGACCACCTCTGGTTTGGACGTCAGCCCCAGCCAGGCACTGCTTTCCGTCTCCTTGCCTTCCCTTTGTCCCTCTCCCTTTCCACCTCTCCTCTCTCTCTGCCACCTCTTCCCATTGCCCCTCCATCCTGGAGGAGTTGATCCCATCCTGGCACCAGCCGGGACGCCATGCCCCAGTCCCTTGATAAGATAGTCCAAGTCTTTGCCCCGCCCCTACCACCCAGCCAGCGTGCCACCCCATAAAGCAAGCTCAACTTTGGTGTCTCCTCCCTCTTTTGTAGCTGTTACCAGAAATCATGGTCTGGTGGGCAGGGGAGGAGCCATCCGACCTTGCCAGGGCAGTGTGATTCACCTTCTTACCCACCTTTGTCCATCCAATTTAGTCTTCTCTCGGGACTGAGGTGGCGTGGCAAGTGCAGGGCGAGACATACCAATGGCTTTGCTCTGGCCCCTCTTCGCTGCACTTGAGCCTATACTCACCCAGTGCCTGGGACTCCAGTGCCGGCCTTCCTCGGACGAAAACTCCCCTCGCTCCACTGACCTCTCAAAATGGAACTGGCCCCGTTAGCCCTGCATCTCCAGTGCTTCTGGGAAGCTTGAGTGTGTCCTGGGACTCAGGTGCTGTGGTCTCAGTCTCCATTTTACCAAGGGGAAACCCACCTCCCCAAAGTCCCAGACCAAGTGAGAGATCAGTGTGGCTCCTCCCATCCTCCCCAGCCACACCCCTGGGAGGGAGTATCATTGGGCTGGGTGCGGCTGCCCCCATGCAGCAGAGGTTGAGTCAGGCTGTAGGGCTTGAGCAAACTTTATTTGTGGAGTCTTAACTGTCCCCAGCGCAGGGTCCCAGTTCCTCCTACCTATCCTGAGGCCAGAAAACAGGTGGGCAGGGCTACTTCTTTTTCAAGGGTTGGGGGGAATTCAAGGCTCCTGAATCCTACCAAACTCACCCTCGACTTTCGAGGACCTAGTAGAGCTGCCCCTAGGATTTTCTGAACCTAAATCTCTATGGGAGTAGAAAGACTCATCTTTCTCCCATGGAGCAGCTGGTGGTTTCAAACTGCTGGCCTTCCAGTTAGCAGTCCAATGTGTAACTCACTACACCAGCGGGGCACCTAGAGCATATCATTTTACAGATGTCTGAAGATGAGGGTTGAGACCGGTCACACAGGCTGGGGAACAGCAGCGGACTTGGGAGTCCTTGGAAAGGCCCCTTTGGTAGCTGTGGAGCCAGGCCCCAAGAACATGGCTCCTCCCTCCTTCTCAGCCTATTGCATACGATGGCCCTGCTCTTCCCCTCGGAAGCCATTGGTTAGGGCTAGAGGCAGACTTGTCTCCAGTAATTGTATAAGTGCCAGGATGTACCTGGAGAAGAGGGAGAGGGCCCAAGGTTCTCCAGCTTACTTGCTAGATTTTGACAGCTCTGCCCTGATATTCCCGAGAAGGGCAGAGCTGGGTGCTGTGGGGCAACAAGCCAGGGTTCAGGCAGAAGGCAGCCCGGTCCAGCTGTTTTGCCCACTAGGCTATAGGGAGTCAGCATTCAGGGAGACCTGGCCACTGGGCCTTACACACTAGTGCCAGTTGCCCTTGAGTCTGTTTCTACCAATCCCATATAAGCTGCAAACTTTTTCCATCCTCAGCAGCTAACAGAGATTGGCCATTAGAGTTTACTCAGGTGTCTTGAAAGAAGGGCCTAAAGATGTTCTAGAAAAAGAATCAGCCAGTGAAAACTATGAAGCAGTTAACACACAGGAGGTCCCGATTGAAGTTGGTCGGCTTGAGGACGTGTGTGTGTGTGTGTGTGTGTGTGTGTGTGTGTGTGTGTGTGTGTGTGTTATACTTGGGCTCATGTTAATCCCAAACCCAAATTAACTGCCACTGGGTTGGTTTTGACTCATCGTGACCCCATAAGGCAAGAGAACTGCTCTTGTGGGCTTCTGCAGCTGTCAATCATAATAGGAGCAGACGACCTCATCTTCATCCTTTGGAACAGCTGGTGGTTTTGGATCACTGACCTTGCCGTTGGCAACCCAACCAGCGTGTAACCCATTATGCCACCAGGACTCCCATTGGCCCCAAAGGAGTCTTTTGTACTGGGGGGAAATGGGCTGGACATAAGCACAGTGTCAGCTGGTTCTGGACCCGTCCCTGAGACCTCGAAGAGCTCAGGTGATAGAAACCTCTAGAAAGTACAAATGGGCTCAATCCTCAGCACTGGGAATGAGGACAGGCTAGGGACTGCTTTGCTTGACTTGCACGTTATCATTGAAGTGAGGAAAATGCACACGGTCTCTCACTGTCCTGGAGGTGTCAGACTTGGGAGTTTTCGAAGTTGGCTCTGCGTGCCCCGTGCTCCCCACCTTCTTGGCTTGCTCTCAGTGGAGCTGCACCAGGTACAGGCCCACTTAATTCACCTAGTTCTCTAAGGACCGGCAAGGTGGTATGCCGGGCCCAGTCAACAGAAGAATTGTCCCATTGGGCTTCTTCATCGCCTGTCATTGAGTCACTTCCTACTTCTGACAACCTTATGTACAGTCAGACAAAACACTGCCTGGTCCTGCACCATCAACCTCGTTACTGTGCTTGGACACGGTGGTGCACTACGAGTGCATCTTCAAAATATGGCAGACAAGTCTGCTATCTTAAATCTGACAGTCCAAGGAGCCTTGGTGATGCCCTGGGCTGCTAACTGAAAAAGACGATGGCTTGAGCCCACGCTTCTGTCCGTTAGATGCCTTGAGTCAGTTTGATCCCATACACAGCCCTGCACCATCCTCACATTACAGCCTCATAAGCCCCGGGGAGCGGCTCCACTCTGTCCTGTAGGGTCACCGAGTTGGAATGGGCTGGACAGCAATGGATTCTGGCATGCCACACACATTATAGTATTCCACAGGAATTCTTCAGTCTTGTTCCTTGTCCAGCTTCCTTGAGCACAGAAAGCAGTTGAAAATACCGTGGCTTGAGTCGAGGACACCCTTGTCTTCAAAGCACCATCTCTGCTCTTCAAACTTTAAAGTAGTGGTTCTCAATCTTCCTACTGCCGTGACCCTTTAATACAGTTCCTCATTGTGGTGACCCCCAACCATAAAGTTATTTTTGTTGCTACTTCATCACTTATTTTGCTACTGTGATGAATCGGGTGATCCCTGTGAAAGGGCCGTTCAACCCCCAAAGGGGTCACCACCCACAGATTGAGAACCACTGCTTTAAAGAGACCTGTGCCACAGACTGGCCCAGTGCAGTATATCATTTGACTTGGTGACTGCTGTTTCCGTGGACACTGACTGGATCCAAGTCAAATGAAACCTTGACAGCTTGTCTACTTTTTACCATGAAGTTGTTTATTGGTCCAGTTGTCAGGATTTTTACTTTTTCAAAAGTGTGGAGATATACTTCCTACTCCATGTCGTTGCAATTCATGAAAGGTGTAACAGTTAAGGGAGGTCCCCAAGTCTTCTCCCTCAATCCTTGGTAGGTTCCAACCATGAGCTCTTTGGTTAGCCATGTGCTTAACTACTGCAACACCAGGGCTCCTCGATCCCTGCTGCAGGGTTTACCCAAGGACACAAGCTGGGAAGTTGCATGGCTGAGATTCAAACATGTGTCTTGATTCTAAAACCCATTATCCTCAGATGCTTCCTCGAGTCCTGGTCTTGGGTGCTACACCTGTGTCTGCTGTTGCTGGTTGGCAAGTGCTGCCAACCTCTTCAGCCTTTTGTGGTGCTCAAGTCCCTGCAACTTGCTTGAGTGACCCCCAGCTTTGTCCATACCCGGACCTATTCTGAGTCTACACTCAGGCTCTGCCCTTTGCCCTTGCATAGAAGGAGTGTATTAACACACTGTCCTGACTAAAGGGCAGGCAGGTGTGTTCTACGCAGGCCTGGAGGCGAGAACCCCTCTCCCTGGTCTTCAGCAGCAACGTCACCCTTTTAAGTTCACCAAGCACATTCACAGCAATGATCTCCCTTAATCCTCACAAGTCAGTGAGGTGAGGGTTGTTGGCTCTGCTCTACTCTACAAAAGACCCTGGGAGGGGAGTTGACTGGTCCCACAGGCCAGTTCCCGACTGACTCGGCAGGACGGGAGAAGCCCAGGCTGTTTCCAGTGCTGGTGCTCCCTCTAGGCAGTCAGGGAAGTGGCCTTGGCAGAGGAAGCAGGTAGTAGTACTGATTTTTCCACGGACACCTGTGTGACCAGGGACAAGTCTTCTCTCTTGGACTTTGGCTTTCTTGTCTTTTCAACGTGCCCATATCACACTCTACGGAGCTCCCATGTTGTGAATGAACAGAGCCCGTGGACCCTGAGAGGCCTCACAGCCCTGCCCAGCTTTACCAAGGTGGAAGCCCAGAGGCTCAGAGACCTGCCCTGCCCACAAGTCTTTGCTGCAGGCAGGACAGGGCCCCTGCTCTTCCCTCTGCGTCAGGGAGGGCTGGGAGGGAACTCCTCTCCCTCCTACATATTGTCCTGGGTTTAGCAGGAAGATCAGAATCGAGTCTTTATTATGTCAGTGTCAAAGTCCTCTGCCGCTCCACCTTCGCCCTCACATCTGTGTAGCAGGGCCAGCTCCCTTGCACACTGGAGGCTTTGGGAGGTAGTGGCAGGTGGGTAAGGCCTGGCTGCCTTCTCCCACCTCTGCTTCAGCCCCCAGCCCACTATCGTTATGTCAGCAGTGCCTGGCGCAACATCTGCTTCTTCTGGGGTGTGAGGCGCGTGGGAAACTGGATGTCAAAGAAGATGAAAAGGTCCCCCTTCTTGGTGGGGTCCTCGGGCAACGGCATCCCCTCACCTGACACCTTCTTGAAGTACTTGGGGCTGAGACAGAAGGATGAGAGAAGGGAGATTAGAGGACATCCCAGAGCAGAACCTCAACCAGCTGCTACCACCCCTACTCCCATAACCTCAGGAATGAGGCCATCACTACAATGTCCACTGTGAAATGCCTTGTATTGGCCAGAGCCAGTGGGAGAGGAGAGGAGCGCTGACTTGTCCCAGACAGTTTGGTCCCTGGACCCATTGACACAGTCTGATGGAGGGTCCCAAGAACCTTGCTTTCCACGTGAGGGTAGGGAAGGAAGACGGGCAGACTCCGGATTGGGATGGACAGTGCTGGGCAGCTGAGCGAAGCTTCCTATGCAAAGGGCCTTGGGAAAAAGATGCAACTCGAGCTCTAGCGAGCGGTCCTGGAGCATGGGGCTGCAGGCCCGCCTGCCCCAGAGGCCTGCTGGGAGCTCTGCAAGTTAGAGGAAGGCACACCTTTTGCCAGGGGTGCACCGGGGTGTGGGCTGGGTTTGGGCCATCTCTTGCCTTTAGTCAGGTACCTTATGCTGAACACCAGCTGCACAATGATACCAACCATACCTTGCAGGCCTGCCCAAAGCTACTCCCAAGGCCCAGGTCAGAGCTTCCCTTGCCTACAGGGACCCACGGCAGGTGGACTCACTGGACAATGTCATTGATGGGGATGCAGAGCAGACGGTCATCCAGGGTCTTCACCTCCACAGTGCAACAGGTAAGAGCCTGGGGGAGAGTGGGGGCCAAAGGAGGAGGTGGGGAGGGGGCACCATGGCCATTCTATTTAGAAAGCACTTTGTGGAAAAAATAATCTATAACGTATCAAGGGTTTGGGAGGGGGGAATGAAATGGGGAGCTGATAGCGGGCTCAAGTGGGAAGATAATGCTTTGAAAATGATGATGGCGGCACATGTGCAAATGTGCTTGACACACTGGAGGATGTATGGATTGTGATAAGAGATGGAAGAGCCCCCAATAAAAGTATTTTAAGAAAAAGAAAGCACTTTGTGAGCCTTTTCAGTGACCTGGCCTGAGCTGGGCACCAGGGACTCCAAATGTGGGTGGGTGACAAGGTGAGTGACCCAAGCAACTGTCTGATGGCAGAGTTCACCAGCTGGTTTGTAAGACGGGTGTGGACATCCGACATGTTTGACAGAGAAGGAAGGGGTCTGTGTGAGCCAAAGAGACGTCTCAAACACGTGGGGATCTGAGAGACTGCACAGAGGCGGTTAACTTTGGGGAGGGGCTTAAAGGGTCCGGACTGCTTTACCAGTTAGATGAGGGGAGTTGACAGCAACACAGCAGTCTGACTTGTGGCACCTGGGGCAGCCGTGGCTCAGCAGCAGCAGTTAACAACAGGTGGGGTGGGTTAAGTGCAGCAGTGAACAGCAGATGAGATGCAGGGGGCGCAATGGAAGGCTGCTGACTGGGGTGTGAGGCTGTGGAGGGAGGGGTCATGCACTCCCTGGAGGGAAGACAGCTGCAGACTGGTTTGGCTGGGCTCTGGGCCTGGGTGGCCGACTCACCACATCCTGAAGGTCTTGCCTACTCACTGGGGTGAGTAGACGGGGAGGCCCGACTACCTGCCTGTCTTGGGGTCTCCTCCTCCAGGACAGCAGAGGCTGGCTGTGATCCCTCCCCTCCCTGCACCTCCACTCTGCCCACTCACCTTGCCCAAAGGGATGGGGCTCACAAAGAAAAGGTTGTCGTTCTCCCTGCGGAAACGGGGGTGAAGCTTCTCCTTTACAATGAAGATGATGTCAGCCGGGATGATGTTGGGGCCCTGGGCAGGGGAGGCCAAAGGGTGATAAGGACCAATTGGCTGTGTGACCTTGGCCAACTTCCTGCCACTATGGGTCTCCAGCCACGTCTTCATCTGTTCAGTGGGGAGATTGGAGCAGGTGCTCCGGCAGGGCCTTTTCGGCTTGGGCCCCTTGGCTCCTGTCCTGAGAAACCTGCCAAATGGATCCCCTCTGTGTTAGTCTCTTCTACGGAGCTTGCTCGAGACGGATGCCCTCAGAGGACCAAGAGGCTTCCTCGGTTGGACATTTTTCCTGCCCTTTTCTTGCAACTCCATGAGTGACGCCCTTCAGGCAAGCTTCATTAAGTCATTGAAATTCTGCTGGCTTCTCTTCTGAGCACTGGGGACAAGGGAGTCAAGACTGGGCCCTCACCCCCAAGGAGCTCCCAATCTCATGGGGGCAACTGCCCCTCAGAGGCTCCTCCATGAGTTCCAGGCTGTGATAAAGGAGAGCCTAAAGGCTGGGGGAGCTCAGGAGGCCTGGGGAGGCTGTCCAGCATGGCAGGGACATCGGAGCTGGGTCATGAAGGGAGTTTGGGGAAAAGAGATATTTTCTAGTGAGAAGGAAGTATGAGCTTGGCTCTGATCACTCTGCCACCGTGGCTCTTCTCAGGACATACAGACTCCGCACGCCCCGGGGCTGGACAATCACTCTACATTTTTATTTCATTTTATATTATTATCCATCAGTGCCTTCTGAGTATCTCTTGTGGTTGGGCTTCCACCAGAGAAGCACCAGAACACATCAGAGTCCTGGAGTCGGGAGTGGGTTATCTTTTCTGCTTTAGTGATCTGGGCCTTGGACAAGTTCCTCTCCTCTCTGGGCCCCTGTTTCCCTCTCTGTAAAATGAGGATGATTCTGGGGCTGTGCACTCACAGGCATCGTGACACCCTGCCCCTGGGAAGCGTCATTAAAGATCATCTCACCTACCCAGCACACTTGTCTCCCTACCATCCCGGGACTCACAAGGCCAAGAAATGCACCTCCTCCTACATCCTCAGTACCCGCACCACCTGAGGCCAGGTGACTGAGCCAAGGGTGGGGTGCTGGGGACACTGAGCTTGCTTCTTCCTCACCTGATCCCCTTCCTTCTCGAAGGTGATGCGTGTGCCCTGCCTCCAGCCAGGCTTCACGTCGATCGTCAGGATCTTGTCCTTGATGGTGGAGGAGTACTTGTCCTCATTCAGCACCTGCAGTAGTGTGTGTGTGGGGTGGGGAGGCTTTATTTAAAATTTCCATGAGCACAGGCAATCAGTTGGCCTTTGAATATATGAAAGGTGCTTTGTTCAGGCTCGATATATTAGCAACGAGCCTTCCCCACTCTCTCTGTTGCCATTGGAACCAAGACCTTATGATCCAGATGGTGGCACGTGTCCTGGGAGTGGGCCAGAGATGCAAAGCAGCCCCCAGGAGTGGATTCAAGTCCAGCTCCAGAAATTATGTGGCCCTGGCCACGAACAATGCTCAGTTAAAAAATGTACTCAATTCCTCTCTCCTGACCCCAGAGCCCCTGGCCCTGAGCCCCTACACAATTCTTAGCAGGAAGGACAGGGAGCAAGAAAGGCAATCTCAGAAGGAGAAAGACCATAAAGGTCAACGTATCGATGCCTCCCAATGACTTCTCCAGTATGCTGACCACCACTCTCCAATCACATGCCTAGAGGAGTATCTTCATCTACAGTTGGTGTCTTCTCTGTAGGGCAAAGGTGAGAGGGTCTTGTCCTTGTGCCTGGCACAGGGCTGGGTCATGGAATAAGGCCAAGCCAAAGACAGGGCCCTCAGGCATGGAGGGTCTTCAACCAGTGACCTCAGGAGCTATGCATCAGGTCCACACTGCTCTCTTTGACCCTGAGGCACCAGGGTAAGTTAGAAAGTGTTGTGATTGGGGCTCCAGGGCATACGTGCATGGGTTTGTTCTCAACAGAACACGATTAAACGTGGCTCCGCATTCTGCGGATGACTGCAAACAAGTTGTTTAGTCTCATTAGGGTGCCTTCGCAAAAGGTGCCATCCAAACGGTGGTTTCCAAGTAGATCTGCTGAGCCATTTAAGTCCAAAGCAGAGAGGTCAGGCTCAGAAGGTTAGAGTGACTACTGGGGTGCACTCCACAGGGCTAATCTCAATAGATTCTCTTAAAGGAGACGGGATCTTCCCTGGGGCTTCTCAGGAAGAAGCTTATGAAGACTGAGATTGCACAGGTCAGAAGAAGGCCAGGAAAGTTGTGCAGAGGAGCATCTTTCCCAATAGGATAAGGCACCCTCCATCATTCTTCGAGCGTAGCCAGGGCTGTCCTGGGACAGTTTCCTTGGGAAGTCTTACCCCATCCACTCTAGACTCCTGACCTTATCCCTTCAGAGGTTGTTGTCCCCCAAACTCAAAGAATGTTTAAAAATAGCACGATATGAGTCCTTTGGGGATGCCAAAACTGCCTCTTAGACTTGGTATAAGTCAAAGTGTGAAGAATCCCTTGGGGAAGGGTTAGAGAGATGCAAATACAACCTTCACAAGTGTACAGAGCTAGGTGGAGGCTATGTTGAGAAATTTTTTCGTTGACTAAAGGTTTAATATTTTCGTTGACTAAAGGTTCCCATGATTTTGCAGGCTATGATATGTATATGCAATGTTATAGAATAATGATGAATCTTTGAAACACCTAACAACATAACTTGTGTGGCTTTATACTGAGTGAAATTAGTTGATCACCAAAGGATAAATATGGCCCTTAGTCACCCGTCTGGTCTGGAAATGAACTCACCCTGATGGCTCAACGTTGGGCCAAATAATAGACCCAGTCTGTAAGGGGAACAATAACACTAAAGAGGTATACACAGTACCCAACCATTTGAGATAAAAAGGGTGACATTTCCCAAGGACAACGTGCAGAAGGGTTAAGGATGAAGGAGGAATGGGAAACGGGAAACACAGGGAGGAAGTGAGATAAATAATGCCACATTTGGGGGATTGCATTCAATGACCTGAAACAAAGTATGTATGAATTCTTGAATGGAAAGCTGATCTGCTTTGTAAATATCCACAATATGTTTTAAAATGTAAAGAGGGTCCCCTCAATGACTTTTGTAGCAATACTTTTTGACTGACCTTGGTATAGACCCTAGAGGAGCCTGGTGGCTCATAGTTGTTGCCTGATGGGCTGCTAGCCACAAGGTCAGCTATTCAAAACCCCTGGTGGTTCTGTGGGAGAAAAATGGTTTCTACTCCCATAAAGAATTCTAAAGAATTCGTCTCTGAACATGACAAGGGCAGTTCTACCCTGTCCTCTAGGGTCACTGAGTCAGAATGGACTCCAAGAAAGTGGTTTGTATAGACCCTGAGGAGATCCTGAAAGTGCGATCTGGGCACGCCTTAGGAATGTCCAGAGGGCAGACTTCACAGGTGACTCCTACCCACGTCCCAGGCTGCACTGAGAGAGGAGACTGCAAAGGGAACTATATCCTCAATATTCACACTCTAGATCGAAGATTTCGTGAAAGTCCTTTGTAAACTGGAGAGTCAGGGGTGCCTATGAGGACCTGACCTCTGCTGTCCTCTGACTCACGGCTTACCGGAATGGAATGAACGTCACAGGGTGGGGTGGTGCGATGGATGACCTTAGGCTGGGGTGCATGGGGCAGGGGGCTTCACACTAGTTCCCTTGCATCAAAGACTTAGTGCTCCAGATTAGGTCAAGACGGAGCTGGCTGGTGACTGGCAGGGTTGGAGTGAGTGGTTAGGCAGGTTCTTCTTGGGGGCAACCAACTCATTACTCACCCTTCTGGAGATCTTAATCTTCTTGGTGCAGCCAAAGAATAAGTCCTCCAGGGACAAGTAAAGGTCTCGTTCAATTGGGGGGTCCTGCTTCTTGACCCCTCGGCCACGGAGCCCCCCAAAGTTCAAATCCAACTCACTGCCTTCCGGATCAAAAAACTCTATAGGAGGTGAGAAAAATAAAGGCATTGTGTCCAGAGATTCAGATACACAGGGCACCCTCCCACGTCCTCAGTGCTCTAAATGTGGTCCCTAGCGCCCCATGCCCCCTTCTCAGCCTCAGGTTATCTGGGGTCAGGAAGCTGTCCTCAACCATGATAAGCATCCCTTGCCGCCCGTCTGTGCTTCATCCTCTGCTTTGGATATCCTCCCACTTCCCTGTCCTCCTTCCTTCCGCTTCCCAGTTAGGGAGTCATCCTGTCAACCTCTGTTGCCTTAGGAAAGAAAGGAGTGCCCTGTGGTGGTGGTGCCAGAAAATACTGCACCATTAGCTTGGGGAGAAGGGAGGAATAGCACTAGGCCTCCACTTCATGGCCCGGCCCAGCCCAAGACCATTCGACACCCCAGATTCATGTTTCTATAAAGTCAGTAACTGAGATTTGGGGGAGGGTATGGTGGTCCCTAACAAATTTGAAAGGTCACCAGCCTATCCCCAAGCTCCTCTTTCCTCAACTTTCTTTTTTTTTACTCCAGACTAGTACACACCCATAATTCTACACTCCACTCCTAACTCTCTGCTGTGCTGCCAGATGGGAAAGTCCTTTGTAAACTGGAGAGTCGGGGTGCCTATTGTGACTGAGCTTTGTGCCCTCGGTCTCTTCTGGGGAATGGAATGGGATGGACTTCACAGGCTGGGATGATGTGATGACCTTAGGCTGGGGGATGGGGGGTGAGAAGGAGGCAAGGGGGCTTCATATTAGGTCCCTTTAAGATCTAATGGCCTGTGAATTGTCTTGCTTTCCTGAGTTTATCTGTTCACCTATAGAATGCCAGATAGGAGACATCCCAATAGCCAGGATACAGGAAGTCTCCCGACTCCCACCTTGACCCTGCAGGGAGAGTCAAGGGAAATGGGGCACAAGAATCCCTGGGGTGGAGCATTATAGCAGCATAACTCCTGGACACTGCCTCCTGTGGGAACCCATAGTGTCCCTTGGCTTGGCCTTCCCTACTGAGTCCTTGCAAACGCTGGCTTGGGGCCTCTGAATGGCCTCTTTCCATGCACCTGTCCCTGGGAAATGCCGGCCCATTGCATGGAATTCTTTTCTGACTGCAAAATCCATTTTCATTAAAAATATCTCATTTGTGAGGTATAGATGATTACAGCCACATGATAATGAGGAAATTTAGATTTCAGAGAGGTGGAAATATTTGATTAGCCCACAAACTTGTCAAGTAAGAGAGCATGGGTGTGAGGCAGGCTCTCTGACTCCAAGGCCTTTGCTTTTTCCAGTCTCGCCTACAGTTTATGAACCCAGCTTTCTCATCGGAAGGCACTGCACAGTAGGAGGGGCACTGAGGCGAATGGGGCAGTGGAAGAGAGAGATATTTTGGAATGCAGAAAATCTGTGATGTGGCCAGGGAGAAGGTGATGTGGAGGTGGGCAAGGGGGTGGAACAGGCCATTAAAATTTAGACTTCATGAGCTACGTAACGGAGTTAGGAAGACAGGGATGAAGAGATAAAGGCTAACTGCCTTTGCAAGATGATGCAGAGCTCACAAACCAATTCTTTGTCAGTAAGTCTGGGATCATTCACGCATCCATCTACCTACCCACCTACCCTTCTGTTCATTTACCCACCCACTCACCTTCTATCTATCCACCCACCATCCCTTCACTCTTCTCAGATCTTAGGCTGGGGTTTGGATACTCAGAGTCCCTGCCCTGGGGGACTGCATAATCTGATAGGGTGACAAGCATATCAGAGACATCAACTGTTAGCAGCATGTGAACTATTTCAACAGAAGAGGATTGGAGAACATCCCACGTGTATAAGGTTAGCAAAACACTAGAGAAAAAGGTAAATGCTCGTCAATGAGAGAGCAATTCAAATGAGATTTTAATAAAATTAAAATGAACAGATGATAGATGTGGTGAACTGACCCCAGAATCCATTCCATCCTCCCCTTTGTACATTTCCTACTGTAGAATCTGGAGAGCCTAAGAAGAACAGTGTTCGGACTCTCTTGCAGCTAGAGTTCTGAATTTAAACTCTGCTGATTCGGTAAAGCTCAGAGCTGTCTGTGGCTTTGGCGGGAGCTGGTGAGCACTGTTGTGAAGATAGGGGGCTTTTCTGCAGCAATGTGCAGTGCCCACCTCTTAGCTTCACGCCTGTCAGAAGCAAGGAAGGTAGCAATCTTCAGCAATGACTGCGGGGACAATGGTGTCTTCCAGATACAATAGTGGTGTCCCCTTGGTTCCCCTCTTCCTGATAGCAGCTCTTCTCTTGGGCTGGCTCAGAAGAGATAATCCAGGGGGAACTCCCGGAGGGCCACTTGGGGTGCTCTCATCCAGACCAACCAGTGATTGCTTTCTTCCCTTGTTGGGAGCCGGTGGCCTTTAAGGCCTTAGCCTCAGCCTGAGCTGAACTTGGCTGCTTCCTAGTCTTTCATTTGCAAAACCTGTGAGGCCCTGCCTAAATTCCTGCCTCCGCGTTCCTAGCTGCGTGCTCTGTAGCACGGGCAGTTGTAAAGTTGACCTTTTCACCCATTGGTTAATAATGCCAGGCGCTCATTGGACTAAGATGGACTTTGCTTTACACCTGATGGACCTTAATCTGCATGCAGGACGTCTTTGAGAACTAGCGCGCGCCCTTTTACCTACAGCTGATTGGTTAACGTTCTTATGCTTCATTAATGTACCTGTTGGATTGGATGCTGTGTCGCACACCTTATTAAAATATGCACCTCCCAGTTCCCCCTTTTTTATACCCCAGCTTTGCCCAAATAAATGAGCTTGATCAGAGTTTTGTCTTGCTCCACGCCCCCGTGTCTCCTTTTCTCCATCCAGGTTCGTCTTTCCCCGCAGGGCCTTGCTCGTGTGTCCCGCAGGCCGGGACGCAACATTCCCTAAGCTTTCTTACAGCCTCTAACTAACCCCTGTATTGCACACAGCCTTTCCTGCTCACCAAGGCTGTCACGGCATCTGCTTCTGCAGCTGATGCCCGAGACACACTTCTACCAGGGCGTTCTGTGCAAGCATTCAAACGAACAAAGGTGATCCATATATAATGTCACAAAATAATATTGTCACATGGAAAAAATTCAGCGTACAACACTGTACAATATGGTCTCATTTTTATGACAAATTTTAAAGACAAAAGTAAATATATGCTTTTAAATGCATTGACCTCATCTTGGAGGATACATCCACTGTTAGCAACTGATAGCTGTTTCCGGAGAAGTGACTGAGGACCTGCAATTGCTTTTTCGATACGTTCTGTCTTAATTTTTCACCATTTGTTCCCTCCCTCCCTCCCAGTCTTAAAGTGAAAAGCAACAGCCAGGAAACCTACTCCAGAGAAACATCTTTTACAGCCAGTACCTTTCCCCGTAAAGCAAGGGGCTGGGCGGGACTCTCACCACTGAAGGGGTTGTCTCCTCCAAAGAATTCCTGGAAAACCTTTTCCGCATTGCCGTGGAAGACATAACCGGTTGTCCATGGGACTTGTGATCCAAACTCCACAGGAATCCCACCTTTCAAGCCCTCCTCTCCAAACTTGTCATAGATGCCTCTCTTCACAGCTGTGGACATATGTCATCTTAGGGAGGGTCCAGGTGGGCTGGGAGGGGGCGGGGTTGAGACAGATGGAGGCATGGGGAAGACCCGGTTATGGGAAAGGTCAAAAACAGTCTTAGTTCCAAAATACCTCCTGTCTGGAAATCTTTGGAATGAGACCCTAGAAGTTAGGAATTTAACTTTATCCTGTATGAATCTAAGTGGACCCCACCCTCCATCACCCAAAAGAAAAATGGGAAAGGGTTAGGCTTACTAGGGTGGGGTGCAGAGTAGAGGAAGAAATGACAGACTGAGTCAGGCTATAGTCCTGGGATTTGACTGAACTCAGTCATCATAGCTACAGCATTATCTGGGGTACACAGCATCCTAGAACCTTAAGCTGCCTCTGTCTCATGGTAGCCCTGTAGGACAGAGCAGAACCCCTTCCTTGGGTTTCCAAGACTTTAGATCTTTATGGGAGCAGCCTCATCTTTCTCCCTCAAAGCAACTAGAGGGTTTGAACCACTGCCTTTGTAGTTAGCAGCTCAGTGGGTAGCAGCTCAGTGGGTAGCCCTAAGGCCCCTCTAAATATTCTAGAGCTCTGAAATGTTAGACTTGGGCATCTGGAGTCTTGAAAACACAGGGCAAGAGAAAACATGGTGACCCAGCCTTTCTTCCACACACTCTCTCAGTCAGAATAAGCCCTTAGGGAAACTACCTAGCAATGCTCCAAGCTGGGGCAGGGAACTCCTCCTTTCTGCACTCTGTGGTATCGATAGGAGTGACATTTCCTAGTCACCTCACCGTATATCCTCATGTATGAGTTTTCCAGCACTTCTTCATTGCAGTTTTGGTGGTAAAATTAGGTGCCTCGGCTGACAGTCGGGTTGGCTTATACTTGAGTACATAAGGTACTCCTGGTCTCTCTCTGTCCCTTTACTCATCTGTCCTTGGTGAGACGGAAACTTGGCAGTTTAGGTCTTCCGCCTTAACTGCTGCTCAGGGCAATTCCTTATCCTGTTTTCCTTCTTAGTTTGCTTGCATCTTGGGCAGGGAAGGGAGATGCTCACTCATTCACTGTGGGCCCCGTAGACAACCCCACGTGCCTGAAACTTAAGGAATGGTTTCCATTGAGGTGTGGGGGAGCGTCTTAGGTGACCCTTCGACCTCCGCTCCCCAGTCACTCACGGTCACTCAGCACATCGTAAGCCTCTGCTATTTGCTTAAATATCTCCGCTGAAGCTGGCTCCACGGACCTCAGTGGGTGGTTCTGAAGAGCGAGTTTCCGGAACCTAGGCGGAGGAGGAATGAGAGAAGGCGGAACAGCAGGCTGTGGTTGCACTCGGGCTGTGCTGCCTGTTTCAGTGGCCCTCCTGAGCGCTGATGTCCACAGATGAAGGTCAGGGATACTAAACCTGACCTCACGGTGATAACCTTGGAGGTGCGATGGTCAGGCCTCCTGGGAGACAGCCTGGTGTGAGGAGCAGCTGCTCTAGGCATCTGCCAAGGCTCTCCTCTGCCCAAGCTGCTCCCAGCCAATGACGAAGCGTGGTGGGACTACTGGGCCCTCTCCTGTGGGACCCGAGCCCTCCAATGGGCAAGCTTAGAAGGAACCCTCCAATGGGCAAGCCCTCCAATGGGCAAGCTTAGACTGCGGCATTGCTGCCCAGTGCTTCCTTCCCTCATTGATGGCGGACCCACACTGTGACCTGAGACACTCCCTGCATTCTGCAGCTCATCCTTGGGGGGAGGAGAAGTGGGGAGGTGGTGCTTCTCAAAGAACCCAAACTGGCACACAAGCTTCTTGGGAGGCTCAGAGCAAAGAAAGTGCACGAGCCTCCCAACTCTGTGCTCATTGGTTGCTGTGCTGTTCTACTCCTGCCACTCCTCACACAGCAGTGTCGGAAATCATCAGTGTCCCAGGAGGAAAGAGACTCACGGATTTGGTCACTCTGGGTAAGACTGAGCTATTCACCCACATGGGGTTTAAACCACAAGTGATAGCAGAGTTGTGTTCGGACGGAACCCTGAACCCTTGCTACCACCTCTGAGCCGATGGGAGCAAGAGGAGGGAGAGTTACGGAACCCAGAAGGGGAAGAGTTATGAGCAGGAGCCTACGGAGGGGGGGCGGGGGGTGGGGGTGGGGACTGTGACCTTCAACTAAGGGACACAACCAAGCCAAAGAGGCTCCTAAGAAGGGAGCTCACTCCCTCCAGTCTCCTGCTCAGAGGAAGCTACCAGCTGACAGCCACCCTTTTCCCTTGCTGGGCTACAAACCGCCGACCTCTGTTAGCAGCTGACTTTCTGCTGCACCACCAGGCTCCTCCATAAGAAAGATTAGAGCCTAGAAAACTATGGGTGTAAACCCAGATTGCCTCCGTGACTGGTACCTCCGCGATCTCGGGCAGGCTGTGGTTTCATGTTTCCTAGCAGTGCAAAGTAGGACATACCTGGAGACTAAGGCTAGCCAACCCGGAGCAGCACAATGAGGGAGCCCAACCTCTGAGGGGAGGACAACAGGGCCAGCGCCAGCGCGGGGAACTACACAAAGGACCAGACTGCCAACCTACCTCAAATGAGCCAATCAGTGGATTGACTGGGGGTGGGGGGGTGTGTGTGTGCTGGGAATGCCCCGTTACTATACCTTGTAAATAAATACTTTGGAATTTCTTTGTTCGAGGCTCTTGTCCCTGAGGACTGAGCCCTGGCTTAAGTTTGCATAATAAAATCTCTTCTGTTATTGCAGCCTTGTGTTTAATCTCCTTCCATTAAAAGGGTAATCACTCCAGGTCTGTAACGGGCAGCCCTACTGTATGATGAATGAGGTTGCTTTGAGTCAGAACTGACCCCACAGCACACGATTCCCAGGGCTCGAGCCGTGGCTGTCTGTCTGCAGGGCCGCTGCTCGCCTCTCTGGTGGCCTTCAGTAGGCGATAGCACACAGCGTCTCTGACTGTTCTCTAAAGGTTTCGTGAGTTTGTCCCACTTCTTCAACCACACTGCAGACTCTTCACTGCCCCCACCTACATCCCCATAGCATTTTGCCCAGGACTGAGCCCTTGGTAGGCAAGCATGGTAGTCTGCATATTGGTGTGTGGGATTATAAAGAGACTTTTCCCCAGCTTTGTCTCCCCCAAAGACATGGCAAATATTAGAGGTTATTTGCCAGCATATAATGGGAGGTCAGATGCTTAGAGACATCCTCCCTGAAGGCAGTCTATTGCCAGACTACTGTCTGGTCCCACCACACTGTAGGGCCTGCTCCCTGATGTTAAGGACAATTGGGCTACTTCTCCCTAAAGGCTTGCAACCATTGGCTTGGTTCCTGTAGGTGGGGTTTACTCCCTGCTGATAATGGTTTCTATGGAGATCCAGAGAACAGGTCAAACCGGCTCAGTGACATCCAAAATTAGGCTGCCATCCTGAATCTAGGATCGCCCTTCTTGCCACATGTATACCCCAATCTCTCCTCTTCCTATTGCATGTTTGTCCCTACATTTGTCCCCTGCTCATTGCTGTATAACCTATAGTGCAACCCCTTCCTGTGATGTATGTCTTTAGCTGTAATTAGGGGGCTTGCATGCCCCCCTCCCCAAAGATATATAGGCCTGGGTTAGCAATAAAGAGCTCTCTCGGGCTACCCTCTTGGCCTCTTATCGGTTCACCCTCTCCTTTCCCATCCTAGCTCCCCTGTTCCCTTTCCCCTTGTCCTCCTTCCCCTCCCCCTCTCTCCACGTGGAGCACCAAGCAGGGCTGAGGTGAGCATGCTACCATGAGATGTGTCTGATTCCATTATTTGAATCTCTCTTTTTATCTCTCATGCTCTCTATGACTTTATTATAATCGTTATATAGATATTAACTGTACAATTGTGCCTATCGAACCCGCGATTAGTTGTGGGGGGCCTGGCCTTACCCCCATACTGGTGCTGCCATCTGCTGTGGTCATGGCCTTAGGCTAATAAGGGTTTCTGTGAGGATGGAAAGAAAGAATGATGGAAGGTGTTCAGAACGACCCCTTCACAATCAATAAATGTAGCTATTATCAGGACCCAGTCTCAGTGGCCTGAGTTATCCTAGATCTCTCCCTTTGTCATTATCCTCCAATGACAAAGTGATTGATTAAATCATTTGATTAAATGCCAAGCACATTCTCTCTCTTCTCCTCACCTAACTTCCCTTCATCAAGTCTCACATTCTACCTTAATGACCAGGTCAGCCTCCTAAGAGGTCTCTCTTCCTCTAATAGAAGCTTCCAGAGTATTTCATACTTCTTTCTCCTTCCCTAACACCACATCACCGAACCAACATCATGCAAGAGGTACCCCCCAAAATCAGAATTACGCTGGGTGGAACAGAGCTTTCATAGTACCCCTTTTCCTGCTAGGTGAGTGTCGAGCAACTCAAACTTAGTGCATCCCAAAGAAGCTCATTGAGTGAAATCGAAGATCAAGACGATGCTCATTTGTTTTTTTGATGTGAGGGGATAGCGCATTTGGAGTTCGTTCCACCACATCAGACTGCTAATCAAGCTTTCTATTGAGAGGTTCTGAAAAGATTGTGTTACAGTGTGCGACAAAAAAGGCCTGATTTGTGGCAAACGGGACTGGTTTTGCTACCACGACAATGCACCTGCTCACGCAGCCATCTCAGTGCTCCACTTTTTGGCAAAAAACAGCATGCCTCTCTTGCTCCACGCACTTTACTCACCTGACCTCACTCTGTGCAAGTTCTTTTTGTTTCAGCAAATGAAAGGGACATGAAAGGACCGTGATTTTGACAACATAGAAGAGGTGAAGAGAAAAAGAGATGGTGCTGTTGGCCATCCAAACAGATGCGTTTGAAAAATGTTTCCAAGAATAGAATTGCAGATTTGCCAAATGTTTTAAGTGTAATGGAGAGTACTTTGAAGGTTGTTTTGTAAAAAAAAAAAATTAAATACATAGCTTAAAAAAATCCAGTTTTGGGGAGATACCCCCTCGTATACACATCCATCAAGTCGATGCTGACTCCTAGTCATCCTATAGGATAGGGTAGAACTGAAACTGCCCCTGTGAGTTTCTGAGGCTGTAACTCTATGGAAGTAGAAAGCCCCATCTTTCTCTTGAGGAGCAGCTAGTGGTTTTGAACTGCTGACCTTGAGGTTGGCAGCCCAACATGTAACGACTGTGACACCAGGTGTGGTGATTTACTCAATATCTGCATTTGCCAACAAACTTAAGTTGCATGAAGTTAGGGTCCAATCTGTCCGGTTCACAGTTGTGTCTCCAGCAACTAGCACTGTGTCTAGCCCATATGGCAAGTGCTCAGTAAACGTTTGTTAAATTTGTTTTTCTGAAAAATGTCCTGACTCCTGTCCTAGACTCTATTAGGAATAGACCACAAAGTCCCCAAGATTTAGTGGATATATTCACAGACACAGGTTATTCAATCCCCCAAACCCACTGAAGGACCAGAATGAAACTTATCACATACCCATCTGACCAGTTCAGCCCCTGTCCCAAATCCTTGGGTTCTCCAAAACATTCTGGATGAAGTTCAAATGTCTCTTGTCCTCATGTCATTGCCAGGAAAACTAGGCACCCAGGAGAACAGCCAGGGCCTTGAGAGTAAAGGTGGCTTGAGAACAGATGGAGGAACGAAGGGGTCCATGTGGCCAACCTTGACGTTAGCTCAACCCAAAGCCAAGGTACAGATAGATGAGCAAGGAGTAAGAGATGGACCAGATTTTGCCCTGCCTTCCCTGAGCTAAGCACAAAAGCTTTGAAGGAAAGAGATGTGGGCAGGGCCTGCCCAGGCACCTCCCAAACTCTGGCTGTCACCCCAACTTACGCCTTCTTGATCTGGGCATCCTCAGCATTGCGAGTGATCTGAAGCACGGAGTAATAATCTTGGCCCATGGCTGCCTGACAGGAGAGAGTTCCTCAGGCTTCAACTGGGTTGTTAGTCTGCATTCCTTGGTTACTCTGACAACCGTACTGGGGCACGCTGGGAGTTGTAGTCCTTTCCCCTGCAAACCGCTCTCTGCTCAGCTTCCTAGTGGAATGAGAAAAAGGACTGAGAAAAACCCCAAGTCTTGAGAAAGGTCATCCAACTCAGAGACCGGGAGTGTCACAGAGACCTGTTTTGTTTTGCTTTTGTGAAGAAGCACAGCAATTAGTCTTAATTAAGAGTTCTAGGAATAAATGCATGTGGCTGATTTTTAAAAATAATTTAAACATTTTTACAACAGTTTTAGATTTACAGGAAAGCTGTGAAGCTAGTACAGAGAGTTCTTTTTTTTAATTTACCTTTTAAAATCATTGTACTGGGGGCTTATACAGCTCTTATCACAATCCATACATGCATCCATTGTGTCAAGCACATTTGTACATTTGTTGCCATCGTCATTTTCAAAACATTTTCTTTCTACTTAAGCCCTTGGTATCAGCTCCTCTTTTTTCCCCCCTCCCTCCCTCACGAACCTTGATAATTTATAAATTATTATTTTTTCATGTCTTACACTGACATCTCCATTCACCCAGTTTTCTTTCTTGCTTGCTTTCTCTCTTTCTTCCTTTCTCTTTTTCTTTTTTTCTCTTTTATGGCTTTTTATTTATTGCTTTACCTACTGTGTCTAGAATAGTACTTGATATATAGTGGGCACCTGATGAATATTTGTTGAATAAATACATACATTAAAAAGGATTGAGATAATTGAAGACATCCACACAATAGTGACTAGAGAGCACTAGGTCCTTACTACCTATTTTTAAATAATTTTATTGGGGGCTTGTACAACTCTTATCACAATCCACACATACATGCATTATGTCAAGCACATTTGTACATTTGTTGCCATCATCATTTTCAAAACATTTTCTTTCTGCTTCAGCCCTTGGTATTAGCTCCTCGTTTTTTACCCCTCCCTCCCCTACCCTCCTTCCCTCACAAACCCTTGATAATTTATAAATTATTATTATTTTGTCATGTCTTACACTGACCAATGTCTCCCTTCACCCACTTTTCTGTTGTCGGTCCCCCTGGGAGAGGGTTATATGGAAATCCTTGAGATTGGCTCCCCCTTTCTCCCCCACCTTCCCCTTCCCCTTCTGGTATGGCCACTCTCGTTATTGGTCCTAAGGGGTTTATCTGTCCTGGGTTTCCTGGGTTTCCAGCTCTTATCTGTATTGGTGTACATGCTCTGGTCTACCTGGATTTGTAAGGTAGAATTGGGATCATGAAAGGGGAAAGAGGCATTAAAGAACTAGAGGAAAGTTGTATGTTTCACTGGTGCCATACTGCACCCTGACTGCTTGTCTCTTCCTTGTGACCCTTCTGTAATTGGATGTCCAATTGTCTAGATGGGGCTTTGGGTCTCCACTCCCCCTCATTCACATTGATGTGATTTTTTTGTTCTGCATTTTTGATGCCTGATACCTGATCCCATTGATACCTCATGATCACACAGGCTGGTGTGCTTCTTCCATGTGGGCTTTGTTGCTTCTCAGCTAGATG